GGGCATTACGAAAGACTTTTGTTTGTGCCTGCAAGGATAGACAGCATATGAATTGTGATGGATTAGTTCTATAATTCGTGAAAATTTATGGTGTACTCATTTTATTTGAGAATAAAAAGTTTGATATGAAAATAAGTCTCAGCAGTTTTCTAAAATGTAACTAAAATGTGTAAAAGGTCCTCTATAATGGGTATCGAAGACAAAAAATAAAGCTCGTACGTCAAATGAGTTCTTCATCAAATATTAATATAGTGGTAAAGCAAATTTAAAAGTATGTGTGTAAATAGATCATGACAGAGGTTTCGGTGTATATCTCAAAAAATATCTAGAAAAAAGAACAAAAAGTATAAATCAAGCAAATTAAAAAAAAAAAAAAATAAATAAACATGAGCGGTTGTTTTCGCTAAATTTTTTAAAGTCTTACATAATTGAGAGAAAGAGTAGTGATGCTCTAACAATATGTATAGGTGGGCTGAGTAACAAAAAAAATTTGTAAACTTTTTCTGCGTAAGAAAAACAACTAACAATTTTTTCGTACGTGTACGTGTACCTTAGCAAAGATTTTAAAGTAAAAAAATAGATTAAAAATCGAATATATCCAAGTATACTTTTCCCTCGCGTTGTAGACGTACAGAACCACGTTTGTAATTCTCGGTAATTAATTTTAAAACAATAATAATAGCACACAGTGCCACGAGAGCGGTGCGACACGAGATATATTTTGCAAGAGTACCGTATTTCCATGACAGCAATTTTATAGAATATATACATATATATAGTACACGTAAACATGATGGTAAGATAATAAAAGTGATCCAAAACAAATAAACAACCAGTTTTTGAGCAAAGAATTTTTAATCAAATCAACGAGCGATAGATTGTTGGATTCGGTTCTGTCGTCACACTTCTTTTAATAAGAAGCATTTCTATGAATGGGAACACAATAGATGCGTTTTCACACTATCAAAATTTAACAAAAAAATAACAAATTTCAAGAAATTGAAAATAATGAAAACGCATCATCTGAGCCTGACAATGGCACGGAGATCAAAACACAAAGTCTACACGAAAATCCTACACTAACGTTTAATAAACGACACTAGAATAATACGGGAAAATAGAGAGTAAAAGGTGGTAGTCAAAACGAGGCCGAGGGAGAGGCTGATAGCGCCCTTGCCGGCTGGCGCTACGAATCCCCAGCATCAGCTGCAGACCGCGCAGCGGATGATCGGGCTCAGAAAGACGCCTGGCAGGAAGGTGCCCCAGGTGGCCCTGGTGGCTCTTGCGCCCGCCACTCGACAAAACGCCAGCTAGGACGCTCCACGATTCATCCTGATGTTCTCTTGTCACCGTCGTCGTCCTCGTTATTGTTGTTACATGTTNGACCGCTTGGATCTGCTTTGATATAATTTAAAATTACGTAAAATTATATTACAAATTTGAGAATGAGCCGAGAGGCTACGATGTTGTACATAGATTTATATTGTCTTTATTCCTAAACAAATAAATAAACAAACAAATAAATACATGAACGCATCATACCATCCATTAATCGTACTAAACGGTAAACATTAAACGAGTGTTTTTAATGCGTATTCGGAGGTTGTTTGTGCGAAAGCGAAGTAAGAGCGAAAGAACATTGGAACAAAAAACAAATAGCCGTAGTAAATTGATATAGAGCCATAAGAGTGTGAAAGTCTTGTGCTTCGTAAAGTCAAACTAAAAAAAAAAAAAAAAAAAAAAAATGAGGGGTTGTTTTCGCTAAATTTTTTAAATTTTTACATAATTGAGAGAAAGAGTAGTGATGCTCTAACAATATGTATTAATTGATATATATATATATTTTTTTTTTCAATCTATCATTCTATCATACATATACTTACTACGTATCGTAAAGTCTATCCTTGAAATGCATGT